AAAATCAGCCGGGCGTGGTAGCGCATGCCTGTAATTCCGGCTACTTGGAAGGCTGAGGCGGAAGGATCGCCGGAGCCCAGCAGGTCGAGGCTGCGGTGGCCGGGAGCGGCCACTGCACTCTGGTCTGGGCGACAGAGTGAGACTCCAACTCAAAAAAAAAAAAAAATAAATAAATAAATAAATAAATAAATAAAACAAATAGCCAGGTGCAGTGGCTCATGCCTATAATCCAGCACTTTGGGAGGCTGAGGTAAGAGGATTGCCTGAACCCACAGATTCGAGACCAACCTGGGCAATTTGATAAGACCTCGTCTCTACAATAAATCAAAAATTAGCCAGGGCCGGGCTCGGTGGCTCAGCCTGTAATCCCACACCTTTGGGAGGCTGAGGTGAGTGGATTGCCTGAGCCCACGGGTTCGAGAGCCGCCTGGGCAGCGAGACCTCATCTCCACAATAAATCAAAAAATCAGCCAGGTATGGTAGCACATGCCTGTAGTTCCGGCTACTCGGAAGGCTGAGGTGGAAGGATCGCCAGAGCCCAGCAGGTAGAGACTGCGGTGGCCGGGAGCGGCCACTGTACTCCAGTCTGGGCGACAGAGTGAGACTCCAACTCCAAAAAAAAAAAAAAAATTGGCCAGGCTCGGTGGCTCAGCCTGTCATCCCAGTATTTTGGGAGGCTGAGGCGAGTGGATTGCCTGAGCCCGCGGTTTGAGTCCCACCCGGGCAACTTGGCAAGACTCCATCTCTACAATAAATAAAAAAAAATTAGCTGGGTGTGGTAGTACGCACCTATAGTTCTGGCTACTTGGAAGGCTGAGGTGGAAGCATCGCCGGAACCCAGCAGGTCGAGGCAGCAGTGGCCAAGAGCATGTCACTGCCCTCCAGTCTTGGTGACAGAGTGAGACTCCAACTCAAAAAAATAAATAAATAAAATAAAATCACTGTGCTTGAACCTTGTCAACACCCTAGTGACCTCTCTTGTTTACTAATGCCCCTGCAGAGGTCACTACTATCCTGACTTCCATTGCCTCAGAGCAGTTTGCCTGTTTTTGAACCATATAGATGGGTTCGCATAGTTGATATGCTCTTGTGCCTGGCTTTTACTCAGTGTGTTTGTGAGATCTTCTCTGTTGTGAGTAGCAGTTTATTCATTCTCAGTGCCAGAGAGAGAGTCTACCATTATGTGATTGTACCACAGTGTATGTCTCCATTCTGCTGTCAGTGGGCACTTGCCTGGTTTCCGCAGTGCTGCTGTGAACATCTTTGTATGTCTTTTGGTGCACATTTTGGTGCATTTCTGTTGTTTGTATACTTTGAAGTAGGGTTGCCAGGTCATCAGGTGGTGTGCATAAGTTTAGTTTTGCTAGATGTCACCAAACAGTAAAGTAACTGCAGATCTGTGTTCCTGTCAGTGGTGTATGAGCATTGATACTCCCTGCCTTCTCAGACACTTGTGATTGTCAGTCTTCTTTATTTTAGCTGCTTAGGTGGGCGTGTAGCCATATCTCATTTGTTGCTGTATAACTGTTAGATAAATTAGAAGCAACCTCCAAATTGTAACAATTAGGAGATTAGTTAGCATCTGTGTAGTGTAATACAATGTGGCCCTTCAAAATGTTTTGTAGAGTGTGTTTTCTTAGATAGTATAGCCACAAAAGTCAAATATGCTCATAGCAAAAGTTTAAAACATTACAGAAATGTAATATGGAAGTGAAGGTTTCAGCCAGGTGCAATGACTCAATGCCTGTAATCCAAGCACTTTGGGAGGCTGAAGCAGGAGGATTGCTTGAGTCCAGGAGTTTGAGACTCAACTCCTGGGAAACATAGCAAGACTTCATCTCTACAAAAAATTACCTAGGTGTGGTAGTTCACACTTATAGTCTCAGCTACTCGGGAGGCTGAGATGGAAGGATTGCCTAACCTCAGGAGGTTGAGGCTGCAGTGAGCTGTGATCATGCCACTGCACTCCATCCTGGGTGGCAGAGTAAATAAATCAATAAACATAAAAAGTAGGCTAGGTGCACTGGCTCAGGCCTTCATCCCAGCACTTTGCAAGGCCAAGGCAAGAGGACTGCCTAAGACCAGAATTGTAAGACCAGCCTCTGGGCAACATGACAAGACCTTGTCTCTGTAATAAATCAGAAAAATTAGCTGGGTGTGGTGGTGCATCCCTATAGTACTAGCTACTTGGGAGGCTGAGGCAGAAGGATTACCTGAGCCCAGCAGTTTGAGACTGCTGTAGCCATGACTGTGCCACTGCACTCCAGCTTGGGCAACACAGTAAGACTCAGACTCAAAAAATAAGTGTGTTGCAAGTCAGTAAGTACAATATAATCCTACTCTGGTTGGCAAAATTAAAATAGCTACACAGCTATAAATAAATAGCCATACCCAAGTCATTAAGCATTCTGATTAGTGTGTCTTGGTTTTATCTCCGTTTTCTTTAATGATTATGTGTTACTTTTGGAATAAGAAAATACAGAAGTCACTTATTTGTGTTCATGTTCACTTGAGTTGGTCACATTAAGACTCTTACCCCCCACTCGGTGCTACTCTCAGGAAAACAACTGTGTCGGTTAGGGAAGGGTTCCTTTCCTTTGCTGGTTTTTTGGTTAGAGGTGAGGTTGGGAGGTGCCTTTATCTGGAACTTTCCGGTGGGTCACACATGCCACCCCTTCCAGGCTAGCTTCGCCCCCATGGAGGACAAGCTCAACCAGGCACACCTCGAGGTCCAGCAGCTGAAGGCGTCAGTGAAGAACTATGAGGGCATGATCGACAACTATAAGAGTCAGGTAGGCCTCAGAGGCCCCGGTCCTTCTGAGCAGTGCCCCGCCCTGCCTCTCCCAGAAAGGCTCTGACCACGTTGTCCCATTGTGTTGTTGGTCCCTAGGTGATGAAGACCAGATTGGAGGCTGATGAAGTGGCCGCCCAGCTAGAACGTTGTGATAAAGAGAACAAGATCCTGAAGGATGAGATGAACAAAGAGATCGAGGCGGTACTGTTCCCCTTCCCTGCTCCCCTCCCTGCCCGATGCAAATATGTAACTCGATGGCCGTGTCTGTCTCCCTTGTTTGCCTTGACCCTGCCTGATCTGGACTGCAGAGGAAGCCGATTTTCTCCCTGGGGGACGGGCTGGCCCACTCTACCATGTGCAGCCTTCTCCTTTCTCTCTTTCTTACCTCTCTTCTGTCTCTCATGCTGCTGCTTTGTCTTCTTTTTCCTTCCCGGTTTTCTCCTTTCTCTTTCAATTTCTTGAACACAACAAAACAAACCCTCCAAGTAGACAGAAATCCACAGGTAGGCTAGGTCTTTGGCCTGCCTGCTTCATTCTGTGTGCTATCATTTTGTGCCAGCCAAAAAATCTGCCTCTTGTCCTCTTTCCAAAGAGCTTTATGCTTCTAGACTTGGTTTGACTGATTTGAGCAGAGGGAGCATCTTGGTGGTCAACTTGGAGATGGATTGAGTCCAGGCTTAGCCACTAACTTGTTTCCCATCCGTGGGCAAGTAAAGCCCCTCTCCAGTCCTGTCTTCTTGTCAATACAAGGATGGACTAAGACCAGATATTTCTTATCATTCTCTCTGATGACCTATAGCATTACAACTGCCTTCCTAGAGGCTTTGGAGTTATAGACTTTAGTCCTGGCTTTTCCAGGTTTTAGCTGAATGATCTTGGGCAAATGACTTAGCTCCTTTGATCCTTAGTGTCCTCCTGTGGAACAGCACCGCATATTTTACAGGTTATTGTCTGAATTACAGCTGCAGAGAACCCTTAGCGCGATGCCTGGATCCTGGTATTTACTATGTGGTTGCCATTGCTTTTTAAAATTTTATGTATGTATGTATGTATGTATGTATTTATTTTTTATTTAATTTTTTTTGAGTTGGAGTCTCACTCTGTCGCCCAGGCTGGAGTGCAGTGACAGACTCATGGCTACCCCAGTGTTGACCCTCTGGGCTCCGGCAATCCATTCATCTCAGCCTTCCAAGTAGCCAGAACTACAGGCACGCACTACCATGCCCGGCTAATTTTTGTTTTATTTTAGAGATGAGATCTTGCCAAGTTGCCCTGGCTGGTCTCGAGCCCACGGGCTCAGGCAATCCACTTGCCTTGGCCTCCCAAAGTGCTGGGATTACAGGCTGAGCCACTGAGCCTGGCCTATTTGTTTTTAATAGAGACAGGGTCTTGCTGTGTTTCCCAGGCTGGTCTCGAACTCCTGGGCTCAAGCAATCCTCTTGTCTCGACCTCCCACCAAAGTGCTGGGATTATAGGCATGAGCCACCATGCCCAGCCAGGTTGCCACAGTTATTGAGTGACTAAATGAATGGCAAGTTCAAGTGGTAAGTTAAGCCCAGCGTGTGTCTTCAGAGAGCTGCTGGGCATCTGCTCAGTGGTCTGCAGGGAGGATGGGCCTCACTTCCACCTGAGGATTTTGCAGGATCCTCTTCTAGGGGCTCTTCTAGCCCTGCCCTAACTCTGGAGGACTCTGCCTGGCTCTGCTGGCAGTCGGGTGCTTCCCAACAAGGGCCTTCCCCCCTCCCCAGGCACGGCGGCAGTTCCAGTCCCAGCTGGCTGACCTGCAGCAGCTCCCAGACATCCTCAAGATCACAGAGGCGAAGCTGGCTGAATGCCAGGACCAGCTGCAGGGCTATGAGAGGAAGAATATCGACCTCACGGCCATCATCTCAGACCTGCGCAGCCGGGTAAGGGACTGGCAGAAGGGGTCCCACGACCTGACCCGAGTAGGGGCCCGCTTGCCAAGATGAGCCGCACACCCCCCAAGGGAGGACTACTTCCTTGTTCTTGGCTGCTGCTTTCTGAAAGGAATGAGCTATCATCAGTGCTGTGAAATAAAAGTCTGGTGTGCCAAATGCCTTGTGTGTGCACCAAGTGATTGTATTCATAGGAGCCGTCACTCTGTGGAGTCGTTGGGCTCTGCTGATGCCCCATGAGAGTGCTGTCTTTGCCCACCCACACTCTCATGCTCCACTGTGTCCTCAGCCCGCACCCACAGCCGTGAGACGCCGGCAGACGCTGAGCTGTGGGATTTCCTTGTTTCCATCTTTCTCTTGCTATAGCTGCTTCTCCTGACTCCTAACAGATCCACTGCCTGAGGTTCTGCCCTGAAAGACAGAAGCGAGCAGTCCCTCTCTCCCAGAAGCAATCTGCGTCTGGGTTACTAGAACCGTATTCATGGCCTACAGTGCCCAAGCAATTATATGCTACTTATTTGCAGCATGGCCTTGGGCAAGGTTCTCCCTCTCTCTTGACCCGTTTCCTTGTAATAACTGCAAAAGGAGCTACTTTTTTTTTTTTTTTTTT